CCCCCCCCCCACATACACCCGAAATGCCTAGCGGCCCTGTATGGGCTCATCAGCTAGGCGTTTTACACTGTCCCAAAAACACCAACCGCATTTTCATTTTAAAATAATAACAATAATGAAGTGGTTCAAAATTTAAAAGCTCTTTCATTTCCCTTTCGATATCAACATTTTCAAAATGTTTCGCAGTGCCAAAATTTGGCATTCATTCAGTGAATGAAGAAGGAATGAGAAGTGGCTAGAAAGTTAAAATTGAAAAACTGACATTAAAAATCACGACAAACACGAATAGTGAAATAAAATTGATGTTTACAGAGCAGTTTGACTAGTAATTGTTGGCCAGGCATCCAGGACCCGCTCAACTACGGCCGTCCTAACCTATAAGCAAAGAGACGTGTCCGCCAAGCCCAGCAGAGACCCACAGAAGGTTCTACAGGCACGTGTCAGCACTCAAAAGGTACACAACAGACAGTGCTACAACCAAACGCACACCATTTCCTATAAGACAATATCAAAACCGCCAAATAGATACACTCAGATTCACAAGCACCACGTAGCAGGCCCAACGAGGTCGGTTCTCCGGCTCCAACTGGTCGGCTGCTGGCGTCCTTTTCGATCTCACCGGCAACGGTCTCCCCCCACCCGCCTAGGCACCGCCTGTGGTAAGCCTAGGCATAGGAGCGACACAGACGAATGACCCGGTGCCCAGAGCCCGGAGCGAGCATCTCACTTCCGGAGAGAAGACGTTTTCGGACGCAAGCAACATGCGGGCGGTTCGCGGGAGATTGTCAGTGTCCACTTAAACCCCACCCTCTCCAACATGGCCATCTTTACTAACGCTACACTAATTACTGTATAAAGAAGCTTTCGGGAACAAAATTGTCCCTTCATTTAGATACGCCCCCCCCCCCCCCGCCCCCTCCAAAAAGAGAACACTGGTTTTCCGAAATATTTCCTACTTTCATTTGGAATAAAAATGGTTAAGGGTTCGTCGTAATCTACGCAAAATTCCATGTCAAACGAGCCTACATGTGATTGGTTTCTGTAAAAACATCGTATACATAGATTGCATTTTTCAAGTTAACTTGCTTTTTATTTGCTGACCGATAGTCAGAAATATACCGAGCAAAATCGGGCACTTACACTTGCCTAGGTCTCCTTGTCCCTCCCTGACAAAATATTTTGAAAAACAGAAAATGTACTCTTTAGCAC